GTGAGCTGAGATAGCACCAGTCTGGGTGACAGTTGAGACTCTGTCTCAAAAAAAAAAAATTCTCATATAAGCCAACTAGAGGACAGCATGGCCAACAGGTACTAAGTGCCACAGAGTTCAAGTAAGGCAAAAACAGATATCTCCCTTAGGTTCTACAAACAGGAGATGGTCAGTGATTTTGGCAAACAGTTTTACTTCTGGAGCACTGGAGTGTGGGAGTGGGCTGCTTCCACCTATTGCCCTCTTTCACAGGAGTACACCATTTTTAGTGCCTTCTTAAGCACACGAGCTAAAAAGTTTCTGAACCCTCAAATATACAATTTATTCAACCCTCAAATTTAAATTCTGGCTTGTATGGAATTCTAGATTGAAAAGACTTTCTTCCCAGCATTTTGAAGGTGGGCTTCATTGTCTTCAATTTTTCAGTGTGGTTGAGAAGTGATGCGTCATTTTTTTCTCTCTGAAAGATTTTAGGATCTTCTCTTTGAATTTCTGAAATTTCATGATGATGGGACCTTGAATTTAAAGGAAATTTCCAGAACGAAAGAGCTTGATGTTCCAAGTTGAAAGGGCCTACTTAATGCTTGGCACTTTGGTTAATGGGAAAATGTCCAGAACAAGACACCCCTAATCTAACAGGGCTTTCAGCAATGGACACGTCTCAGGTTCTCACAGGCAGGACTGGAGGCAGACAATTTCAGGGCTGGAACAGGGACTGTGATATCATGAGGAACTTTTGTGTCCTGTATCAGGGTAGCTGTACCTCTAGGTTTCCCAACAGTCCTCAAAGGCAAGAGTTGGTGGTGGACAAGCAAGCTTCCTGCCATGTATCTTATCAGACTACAGAGGACTTTCCAGAAACTTCCAGTAGCTTTCTGCCTGTCATTGGCTAGCACTAGGGGCTCCATTGCAGTTAGGCTGGGAGAGCACGTACCTGCCAAAAGCAAATGGGATTGTCATGATTACGTTGGCCTAATGATGGACTGTGTATTTTTTTGGCCTGGACTAGACACATTGCTTTTAATTCACAGAAGTGGGGTTCTGTTAACAAGAAGAGAGGCTGGCACCCTTTGGTTCAACCCAGTGATGCTTGCTGTCATCTCCTCTTTCTCATGCTCAGGCACCCTGAAGCTTGCCTCAGGCCTTGCTTACCCCATGGCCCTTTTGGGATCAACGTTCTGATCCTGACTCCCTGCAGTCACTCTCTGAAGATGTGATCCTGCCCTTTCTATCTGGCTCCCAGCACCTAGAGAGGGATTAAGGGACAGCTTCCTGAGGTACCATCCATTAGAGATAAAAGTGTTACTGTAATAAATCAGAAGTCTCGTGCCAGCGGACTCAAGTTTCCATACAACTGACAAAATGTGAGTAGATCCTACCTCTTGTTGAAACAAATAGACCCCTCCAGTGGGAATCTAAAAAAACGTCCCTGTCAGATGTCAACTCTGCTGCTTTATATAAATGCTGAACAGACTTATAATAAAGATTGTTAGGTTTGGGGACTGAAAATCATTCACCTGCCTGGGGCTCTGCAGACTCTTCCAGCTTCTCTTTCCTTCCCAAGCCCCAGGGACGGGGCCAGTGACTGCTGGGCCGTAAAGAGACCAGAACCACGTAACAGGAACTTTACTTTGTAACTGTCTGGTATTTGTTAGCTGTGCTAATCACTCATGTGTTTTTACTTTTACTGATTAGCAGAGAATCCTTAAAATGAAATAAGCTCTGAATGTTTCCCTGTGGGAGCAGCAAGAAAGTAGACAGGAAACAAGAAAATAGCACTCCCCTCCACCAGCTTTAGGGGTGACAAACCTAAGGGACTGGGGGTGGGGGGTCCTCTTTGGCAGTTTCATGCTGGACTGAGCTCCAGGAAGGTCCAGTAGAACTTCCCGAGAAGCACCACCAAAAGATTTTTAAAAGAAAAGAGGGTAGGAAAGAGATGCTAAAGAGAGCCATGTCCAGATGTGGTGTGGGTAGACCGGGCCTGGGAGGTCAGTGTGGAGGCTGCTTCTGTGACCCAGCCTAAATGGGGTCCAGATGAGGCAGCAACTAATGTGACAGAGAGAAGAGTGGTACAAGAAGAATTTGGAGTGTTAAAATCAATAGTTCATAATTGACTTCATATGGAATGTCAATTTAGGAGAAAGTTTTAGTGCTGAACAAAATCACATTAGAAAAGTAGACTACAATATAATATATATTATATTGCAGAATTCAATTTCATGACTGAAGGTGTTTTCAGCTCCATCACAGCAGGATGACCCAATTACAGCAACAGAGGCAGCACTTGACCCAATACCAGCTCTTATACTTAACTCTAGGCATTCAGGTTTTAATCTCTACTTTTTTTTTTTTTAATTAACTAAAAGAAATCAGGACTCCTTGGAGGGTAGTTGCCTCCATGCCTTGAGACAGGAAAAAATAAATAAATAAAAAATAAGTCAGTATGGGCCTTGATTGTGTTGTTTCCCAGGAAATCTGGAGCCTGATTTCTGATGGACAATGCTAAAAAGAGAAAGCAGCCGAACCCAGGAGCCGGCTCTCGCTGGCTGGGTTGTACCAGTTTGAGCATGAAATAAATAATAATAGTCAATTAGAAAAGTTGAGTTCATAAAAGGCCATGAGTTCCCGACTTCATGCTTAAAATAAAACATGAAATATAAAAAAGATAATTGTAATTTAAAAAGGAGTTGATATCATAGGTGTGTCTGTGTGGTTAGGCAAAAATCCTACATAAAAGTTTTTTCTTTTTTATGTTTCTAATGCATTTTTTTCTCCAGAAAAATAAAGCTGTTTATATGGATAGTATGAAATTCATGCATGTCTGCCCAAAAAGCTGCTAACAGGTTTCTCTAGAGGATCCAAATTAGTTATTTCTCTAGGACATTAATGGCAGACTTGGAGACCTTCAGGCTGTGCCTACACAAAGTGAAGAGAGAAACTGGAGCAGTCTTGTACAAAAACAAATTTTACCAGATAATTTAGACAAGAGTGTAAAATGTCATGGCTTAGAACCGTTGGCTAACTCCCCATGTTGTGTGCACAAATAACATTTTAAAATTTATTAATGAATTTTAGTTGATTTACAGACAGTAGATACATTTTAACTGAGTTAATTTAAAAGATCATAAACTTAGTGTACTCCGGAGTTCATATTTCAGTCCGTTCACATGAGCCAGGATTTTATAGTTTTTCAAATAGAAAGGTCATGGTTTTTCTGGAAATAGGACAGGATTGCAAATAGCCTTTTAATGATCAAACTTCAATGAATCATAAGTTTAGGGATTAAACTTCCCATGATGAATGTGGGTTTAAAGAAATATTACGCAATAAGAGTTTTCTGAGTTTATCCAAATTCTGAACATGTGTAAGATTTAAGCAAAGCTAAATCAAATTAGTAGGAAGGCACCCTCTGCCTTCTCTTAATGACTTCCAGCTAGAAAATTCTAGGACAATAAATATGGTGTGTCCATTAAAAATCTTGTTCTGCTTAAAAAAAATTCTTGACAGCAAATTAAAATACAAATTCTTTTCCAGAGAAGTCAGATCTAGAAACCTCTGAATTTATAAAACATTTAGAAATACTTAATCCAGCCGGGCACGGTGGTTCAAGCCTGTAATCCCAGCACTTTGGGAGGCAGAGGCGGGTGGATCACGAGGTCAAGAGATCGAGACCATCCTGGTCAACATGGTGAAACCCCGTCTCTACTAAAAATACAAAAAATTAGCTGGGCATGGTGGC